CGTAAGTTTGAGGATTTGACATTCTCTCAGTAAAGGTCATGTTTATTTATTTATTTAGCGCATTTTGCTCCACAGTGGGGACCCAATGTGGCTAACAAAAATGCAATTTAGACAAGTTTAAGTTTTTTAAAAATATAAAACCCAGAAAAGACTGGGCTGGTGTTCAGTGGGTTGCTCCGCTAAGGCCATGGGTTAAGACAGGGGTGGTGAAACGGTGGCTTGGGAGCCACATGCGGCTCTTTCATGCATATTGTGTGGCTCCTGGCGTGGCGACTGGGGAAGCGAAGGGGAGGCATGCTTTTCCTTCCTTCCTTCCTTCCTTCCTTCCTTCCTTCCTTCCTTCCTTCCTTCCTTCCTTCCTTCCTTCCTTCCTTCCTTCCCTCATCCCCCATCTATTTGCTCTCTCTTTCTCTCCACATCTTTCATTTTTCTTTCTCTCTTTAATAATTTTAATTGCTTTTATACTACACACTACATAGAAACAAGGGGTGGGTAAACACTAACAGACTACAGGTGATAGGACAGCATTACTAAAAGAAAAGGCTAACAGGAGTTATAGATATTGCTGGTAATAAGCAGTTATTCAAGTTTCTCATATTAAGTCATACATGAGTAAAATTTCTTTTCAGTTTATAACACAAAGTAAAAGCTTAAAATATAATTTTTTGCTCTGAGCAAGTAAGCAAGATAATTATCTCTTCAAGTGCTTATGTCTCAGTTGCATCATCTTCTTATTTCTTCTTCCCTACTTTTTATCTTTATCAAAGTCAGTTTTGACTTTCATTTTTCCACCTCTCTCTCTCACTCTCTCTCTCTCTCTCTCTCTCTCTCTCTCTCTCTCTCTCTCTCTCTCTTTTTAAAAGACTTTTGTTAGTTTTTATCTTTATTTCTAAAAAAATTCTCAATACTTTTTTTTTATTTTAAGAAACCAATTTTTGATTTTGGGGGCACACATTTCCAAGAGATGAAGCTCCCTTCATCAGATACAAAGTGTGTGTGATATGTGTTCATAACTTGTGGCTCCCAGACATCTGACGTTTATTCTACGTGGCTCTTACGTTAGGTGAGTTTGGCCACCCCTTGGTTAAGAGGAAGAGGAAGCTCCAATATGAGATGAATTGACACAAACAATTTTAAATACCTGTAAATTCTTGTAGCTGGAGGAGCTCTCAGCCTGGATATTACAAGATACCAGCCAACTTCCCACAGCTCTCCCTCCAGCTTGATATTACTGTCCCCGTAAAAGCAAAAGATGACAGCAAATGCCCCAATGCAAATAACCTGAACTGTAGATCACAATATCAGGCATTCTGGAGCAGGCAATGGAAATCATAACACTTGAACTGGGATTCTCTGTAGAACCCAAACCCAAGGCATCCCTTACCATTAGGTGATGGAGGTAGGGTGAGCAGTAAATGCAGTCTGTGCCACTCCCCTAATATTTCCTCTTACAGCAGAAAGGGAGCTTTAAAACTGCACTGAGGTATCATAGCCTGTGTGGTGGACTGATCAGGATGTCTGACTAGGATCAAGGCAATCCAGGTTGGAATTTCCCCTCTTCCATGGAACCTTGCTGGCTGACCTTGGACCACTCACAAATTCTCAGCCTGACATATCTCACATGGTTTCTGTGAAGACAAAATGCAGGAGAGGAGAACAATGTAAGCCATGTTGGGTCCTTGGGTGGGATATGCCATTTGTCATAAATCTTATTTTGGCTACAGATCACTGAAAAGCATGTTCACTCTAGGGACTGATTTATGGGATATTGCTACAGTTTTTGGGCAGGAGGCAGAACTGCATTCAAACCACTGTAAAATAGCATGAATGCAGCAAACTACAGGGCTGGCAAGTAGACACAACCCCAGTCATAAATAAAATCCCGTAGAGGTCCCGTGTATAGGGGAGAAGTTCTGATCACACGACCATCCTACAGCATCGCAAAGAAGTGGCTGAAATGGACTACATGTCCCAGAAGGTCACTCGGTGGGAGGAGAAGGGAGAAACGGATGTGGCCAAGGGGTGGGGAAGAGGGAGCTTGAGTCCTCAGTGTGAGGGAAACTAACATTGGTGGTAAGGCGGGGGAGCATCTCGCTTTCTGCGACCTGAGACTGCTGCCCGGGAGGAAGGGTAGCAGCAGAGGCTCCCGTTGATGGGAACAGAGAGAGGGGCGGGGGGGAAGGCTCTGACAACCGTCTTGCCTCTCCTCCGCTTGGCGACTGGAGCTCCGCGAAGCGGGCGCTGACGGGCAGAGGAAACTGCTATTGCCTTCTAATGCCTGACAATGAAACCGAAAGGCAGGTTCCCCGGGGGGGGGGTCGCTACTCTGGGCAACTCTGAGCTGCCTTTTGTGCAGCTCCTGGGAACGGTTGGACAAGCAGTCGCCTCTTCACCTTCCTCCAGGGCAAACGGTTTTTTCCCCCTGTACACTGAGTATGTGCGTGCTCCGTTGGGTGCTTGTGCGCATCCATGGAGACTTGGGGGGGAGCTTTTTGTGAGGGGACATGGGCAGGCGCCGGATGCCATGGGATTCCACTGAAAATGCAATCACGTGCACGCCCTTGCCCCACGTGTATCTTTGCCGCGTATCTTTGGCGGGAAGCCTCGGTTGAGCCACGGGAGCACTACGCTTCCCAGATGTGCCGGTGAGATAGTGCCCGGAAACTCCACCTATATTCCGTCTCTCTAGCATGGCTAATGTTCCGTGTGACTGCGGCCAAAGTTAGGTTTTCAAGGCAAGAGACATTCAGAGGTGGTTTGCCATTGCCTGTTTCCATGACATGACCCTGGTATGCTTTGGAGGTCTCCCATCCCATGACCCTGGTATGCTTTGGAGTTCTCCCATCCAAATACTTGCCAGGGATGACCCTAGTTAGCTTTCAAGATCTGACAAGATCAGGCTAGCCTGGGGATATCCAGGTCATGGCACAATACATACAGAGAATACATCTCAGTAGTCTTTGGATCAGATTCAACATGCATTTTTTCTCATGATGAAGTAATTACACTTATGCTGGCCTCATGTAGCACTGCAATTTCAGAGCTGACTTCAACCCTATAATTATTTCAGATTACTCGATGTCTACTTGCTGTTTTGCAAGTCCTGTAGGATTAGTCTCAAGCCATTTATACAATCTGCAGCAAAGTCTAAACATCTTGTATAAAATATCTCTCTGCCATTCACATCTGTCGTGACAGAATGTGAATAGTGTCTAAGTGTACTTTTTGGCTATTCGTTTTTATCAAACACTTTTGGAGCAATACAAAATGAACAGTTGGTGGTAACTAGGCTGAAGGAGCATGATAGTAACTGGATATTCAGTTGTCATGGCAATGTTATCTTTGATGAGTCTGTTGATGTTCCAGCTACAGATGCCTCCAGCTGAAAGCAAGGCACAAACTGTTATGTGCTCCATGACTTATCCTCCGCAGGTGACATATGAGTATTATCAGCTTGGGGACCAAATCATTGGAGCAATAGGGTCATTGTTTGAAGATATATTTGGGAAAATATCTTTCAAGGAATACCCCAAACCAATTGAAGGAGAACTTATGTGAGATGATTTTTAATATAAAATAGCAATATGCACTAGGCCAGATCATAGCATCTACAAATAAGTCGAACAAGCAATGCAAGTCTGTGTACTTTTATTGACTATTTGTAGGGTTACTAAAAATTGCATGTCAGCTTCTTTGATTTTGGTATTATTCCCTGTTCTTGTGTATTTTATATCCCGTCAATTCCTATGTTGTATCTCATTGCTTCCTGTCACTCAGCACTCTCTATTTATTTTTGCATAATTCTTCCACTGTGCATCAACTCATGCATTCTGTGAATACCACACAGAATTCTGTTTTTATCCTTCAGCACATTTTGTATCACATAGATTTCATTTCATCTGATTACTAAGAAACTGTTAATAAGGTCCAAATTTTGGTGCCATGCCAATTCTCATGAATTTGATATTTCCAAATATACTGTAAATTAGCTGTTCAGATGTGAGGGATGGAGACACTGAGATCTTAATGTAAGATCTTCAACCCTGTTCTTAGTGGCATGTTTGGTCCCCTTCCCCTACACAGTTCCTCCACTTGGGGCCAAACTAGACATTTGCTTTTTTTAAAGAGTTGGACCAGGGTTCTCTGAACCCAGCTCAAATTTTCCACAAAGCGGCTACTTGGGCTTGGAAAACTGTTGTGGGGGAAGAAAAAGTTCCTGCTTCCCCCCTGCCATGTTCTTGCAGCAAAACAATGTGCGGGGGGGGGATATATTTCCCATTTTCTGCTGCTCTGGTAGAATATTCTAAGCACTTGGAACAGCAAAAAGGGAGAATAACAGCCCATCTAGCCCTGTTTCAGCAAGGAAAAGGGAGGGCACAGCCCATCCTCCTCAGTGGTAACATTCCAAGCCCAAACTGGCTCTGCTTTATATTTAAATAGCTAGTCGCTGTAGTTGCTGTGTGGCTATGTGAAACCCAAGCCGGGTCCACAGAACCCAGACCCTTTTTTTAAAAAATGGGAACATCTAGTTTGGCCCTCAGTGTTCACTTTTGTTTGAAACTTGCAGATGACTTCAATGAAAGATGCCGTGTTCATTGGTGGCAGAAAAGGCTGTCAAGTCACAGCCAACTTATGGTGACCTCCTGGGGTGTTCAAGGCGAGAGACAAATGGAGGTGGTTTGCCATTGACTGTCTGTATGTAGCATTTACTCGGACCTAGATGGCCAAGACTAGCTCGGTCTTTTCATGGTATATGAAATGCAAACCTGATCCTAAATATATGTATTATCATGATGGAATACACAGTGAAATACTCTGAAATATGCATCATGAGGACAAAATATATGTCACGCATAATGGTTTTTCTTTTTCTTTCATTCAGTACTATACCAAAGGCCTACCAACATGTTCTCTCCTTGGCATTTGCTGTGAAGAAGATCAATGAGAACCCCAAGGTCCTCCCAAATGTCAGTCTTGGGTTCCATATATATGACAGCTACTTGAATGCAAGGATGACTTTTCAGAATACCCTGAAAATTCTAACTAGACAGAATAGAATTGTCTCCAACTTCAACTGTGACAAGTCAAAGAATGTGATAGCTGTCATTGGAGGATTTAATTCTGAAATATCTCTTCAAATGGCTAATATCTTAGACATTTACAAGATACCACAGGTAAAATAAGGACATAGTTCCCAAAGAATTTTCAAGTCTTTTATTATATAATATCCATAATGTTACTATGTCCTCAGAGCTTCCATTTTTTTTTGTTTCAAGAGTACAAAGTAGAGACAGATGGAGCAGGAGTTATGTGTAAGATAATGGAAAACCTTAATAAGATAATGGAAAATTCCAGAAAATACCCTTGCCTTGAAGAACACTGTTTACATTTCAGTCCATAAGGCTTGGTCCCTGCCTGCTCTGCTTGCTAACGCCAAAGCTCTCTGCACTCCTGGTATATAATGGAATGTTTTGTTTTGTTTTTGTTTTTTTAATAATGGAATGTTGAAGAGTGAATGAGCTTGTTGTCTCTGCCAAGAAAGCTGCTGCTGCTGCTTCTTCTTCTTTGTCGTCGTCATCATCATCATTATTATTTTGCCATCTAGTCACATCTGACTTATGGTGACCCTGTAAAGTTTTCAAGGCAAGAAACGTTCAGAGGTGGTATGCCCAGTATCGCCATCCCTTTTTGGAAACTGTAGAAAATAGTTTTATAGAAAACATTATACCCCACCCTTGTCCCCAAAGGGGAGACAAAGTTTCTCCTCTAGTCAATTTTATACTCACAAGCATCCTGTGACATAGGTCTGGCTGAAAGGGTGTGAGTGACCCAAAGCATCCAGCAACCTTCTGAGGCAGATTGGAGTGTTCTGCCATTCTAACATACAGGTTCTGATAAGTTGCCCATCTAACACACAAGTTCCAATAAGTTACCCTTTGTTTTGTTAGAGAGAGGATATTTTCTACCCTGCATATCAGAGCTGACTCAGAACAATTGGCTGTTATTCTTTACAGGCTAAGCCCTCAGTATGAGGGCTGTGGGAGGCAGGTAGACTAGATAGTTACTTCTGTAAATTATCATTTTGAAATGAAGAGAAGAAGCAAATTGCTTCCCCATGCCACCCCACACACCCAAAGCTGTCTGCTTGGGCTGCAGAGAATAAAATAAAATTTATCCTGCAACCCAAACCATCCACCCATTTTGTCAAGTTTTGGAGGGGAAAAGTTGCAAGTTTCATGCCTACCTGAAGTGAACAGAACTAGCTGCTAAGGCTAGGAGGAATCTGTTACTATTCTTTGCAGCCCAAAGTAACACCTGCATCTCCTCCACCTTCTGAAGCTGTTTTGGTTGCAAGGAACAAGAACAATCTGCTTTTTTTCTGGAAAAAAGAGATAAGCTTTGGTGGTGGGGTGGAGAACAGAAAGAGAAGTTCAGACAAAATCAGCTGTCAGTCAGCTTTTGACCTCCACCTCCAAATATCTACCCAGATATCTGCAAGACAGGGGCTTGCCAAGAATTTTGGGAGGCAGTTTCTGTTCAGTACCCCTTTGAGTTGTTCATCAGAAATGGAACAGATTGGGTGATTGGCTCACCTGTGTTTGGTACAGCCAAACAAATTCACCACAACCCTCACAGCATTCCCAATGAGAATTAATGCCACTTATATTATTTCAAATAACTTGGCTAGAGGATAGATCCTTGAAGTTTCACGCTAGATTTTCCCAGCAGCTGTTTGGGAGAGAGGATCACAATTTTGCCTGTATTGTGAAACTATATTTCATTTTACAGATTGCCTACTGTATATTTGCTCCTGTGACCAAAGCTAGATACCAGCTCTCTTCATTCTACCGAATGGTTCCCAATGAAGCATTGCAGTACACAGGGATTGTCCAGCTCCTTTTGCATTTCCGGTGGACATGGGTTGGGATCATGGCAGGAGAGTATGATCTAGGAGATAAATTCATGCAGACCCTGATACCAATGCTTTCCCAGCATAGCATCTGCGTAGCCCTTATTGCCAAAATTCCAATCATACCTTCTACTATAAACTTGATCGAATTCTTAGAAATCACAAAACCACTGTACTATTCACTAAGAAGTCCCACAGTGAAAGCATTTATTGTAAATTCAGACCATAAGACAACTGAAAATTTGAAATGGTTGTTATACATGAATTCCATGTCAGAAGGCATTGCAGACACTTCCATAGGTAAAGTTTGGATTATGACAGCCCACTGGGAATTCTCTTCGCAATCACTTCACAGGAGTTTTGATACAAATGTTTTCCACGGGACCTTGTCATTTGCCATTCACTCAAATCAAGTGCTGGAGTTTCGAGAATTCCTTCATCTCCTACAACCTAATGCACCCAAAGAAGATGGCTTTCTCAAAATCTTCTGGGAACAAGCATTCAACTGTTTGTTTTATGATTCTATTGAGATGCTGGAGATCAGTAATATTTGCACAGGGCAAGAGAAGCTGGAGAACCTACCTGGGGTTTTCTTTGAAATGAGTATGACTGGCCAAAGCTACAGTATCTACAATTCAGTTTATGCCATAGCACATGCTTTACATAAAATGTACACATCTATGGCCAAACTGAGAGAGACTGCAGCCAGATATAGAATGGATCCTTCAAATCTGCAACCCTGGAAGGTAATCTTTCATAACCCATTAAGATTTCTTGTCATGGCCAGAATAATGTATGATAATACTTGGAGAAGACACCAACATTATATTAATATCCACACTCAGCATTTAAATCCTCATGTCATCATGTATTTAATTGCATGGGGTTTTTTGGTACATGTATTCCTAGACATCACATTTTGACCAAATTGGCTAAAACATCAATAGATAAAAGGCTATTCTGGTTGATTTTTTAAGTGATATGAGAATTCAGCTGCCAAAGATTCGTTGTGCTCCAGAAGGTCAGCTGTCTGATTTCATTTCTGTCTTGCAAGGAGTTAAGCAAGGATGCCTTCAGGCTCCTTTAATTTCCAGTCTTTATGTGAATGGTTCTGGTTCTAATTCTTAAAGTCCTATGTGGACTGGGACCAACATACCTACTGGACCATTTCTTGCAATACATCCCTTGAAAAGGCTCTGCGCTCCTCTGATCAATATCTACTGGTGATTCCTGCCCCAAAGGATGTATCCCTGGTCTTTCTCAGCTCTGGTGCAAGCCTGGTGGAACACTCTTCCAGCTGACATCCGGGCCCTGTGGGATTTAATGCAGTTCCACAGGGCCTGTAAAATGGAGATGTTCCACCAGGCCTATGGTTCAGGAAGCAGCAATTCATCTATATTGGCCTCCCCTGCTCTGCCCTGTTTCATTCCATCATGGCTGACTTTCTCACCCACCCATTTGCTCTGTACTGTTCAATCTATGGCTACCAACAATCAGAATCCCTTCGGATGTTTTAAGTTGTGCAACAGATGGCATTGAATGTTTTAGCAATGTTTTAGTAATGTTTTATGTCAGAAAATCTGGGAAACCAGCACATGGCCAAAGGACTGGAAATGCTCAGTGTTCATTCCACCTCCAAAAAAGGTAAACTCCAAAGATTGCTCCAGTTATCACACAATCGCTCTCATCCCTCACATTGGCAAAATTCTGCTTAAAATTATACAACATCTGGTACCTATCATTGAAAGGGAATTACCAGATTCCAAGCTGGCTTCTGTAGGGGGTGTGGCACTCATGACTGTATAGCAAATCTGTGTTGCATCATGGAGGAATCTCATGAGCATCAAAAGATTACCTATTTGTGCTTCATTGATTACAAAAAAGCCTTTGACTGTGTTGATCATGACAAACTACAGATAGCCCTACAAGACCAGAGGTTGCCAGTACATCTGGTCAAGCTGATACAATAATTGTACACAAACCAGGAAGCCACTCCATATGTGAACACCATATGGAGATACTGATTGGTTCAAGATAGAGAAAGGAGTACAACAAGGTTGCATTCTTTCACTTTACCTATTCAACATGTATGCCAAAACAATCATGAAAAAGTTAGAGCTGGAAGAGTCAAAAATCGGAGTAAAGGAAACTAAAGAAGGCCTGGAATACCTGATCAAATGTATGGAAGAATTCACTTTCTGAGGGTCACAGATCAACCAAAACAGTGAATGCAATCCAGAAATAAAATGTCAAATCACTCCAAGTCACACAGCAATATGGAAGAGCAAGGACATCAGCCTAGCAACTAAATGCAGATTAGTCTGTGCTATTGTGTTCCCCATAGCAACCTATGGCTGTGAAAGTTGGACCATGAAGAAGCAAGACAGGAGGAAAATTGACCCATTTGAGCTGTGGTGCTGGAGAAGGTTCCTGAGCATTCCATGGACAGCAAAGTGACAAGCAAGCAAGTATTGGAGCTCATAAAACCAGACATGTCATTGGAAGGAAAAATCATAAAACTGTGACTGACTAATTTCAGCCATGATGTGGAAGAACTTGCTAGAAAAAACAATTATGCTTGGATTGGTTAGCGACAAAAGAAAACCAGGCGGCCAAAGAAGACGGTGGCTAGACACCATAAAAGTCAACACCAGCCTGAGCATGGAAGGACTCAAAGAAACAGTACAAGATAGGAAAACGTGGAGAGAGCTGACCCATAGAATTGCCAAGAATGGAACATGACTGAATGGCTAACAACAACGTTTTGTGAATTGATTAATTAATAATTGTATGGATTTTAAGATGGTATATTTCAAAATGTTGTATGTTTTAACCAAGTTGTAACACACACTGAGCCTGCTGTGCAGGGGAGAGCGGCCTAAAAATCTAATTAACGAAATTAATAAATGATATGACCCCTTATGTCCAAAAATCATAATTCCATGTGCCTGTTTTGGCTAATTATGGCATGCCTGTTTTGCTTTATGTAGATAACACTGTGTTATTATCAACATCAGAAGTTGGATTTTGCCAGTTACTGAAGTTCTTTATTGTATCATACCCAGAAGCATTATCAGTGAATTCAGGAAAGGTATGATACTCAACAGAGGAATTCAGCATTACATACGAGACATCTGTAAAGCTACTAAAACTTTTTTCACTCCTATCCTGAGATACCTTTCTTCCCACCATTCTTCCCTCACTGCCAAGAGCTCTAGTCAAATCTACAGCCCATATATTGTTTACACTGCTTCTTATGGACCAGTTGAATAAGTTTCCCTGGGTATCATTATAAGAAGTCTCCTTTCTATCACTCAAGAAATGTTGTGCTGGGGGAGGGGGGATGTAAGCCTGCTAATTACACTTCCTACTACATTTGGGTAGGAGAATTTCAGGTTGTGGAAGAAGGAAGTGTGATCTCATGGAAGTGAATTGTCCATTGAGCTCGTAGTAAAGGGAGATTCCCTAACAAAAAAGAGCCTTAATATATATCCAACTTGTAAATATCAAGGTGAAGAATGAAAAGAATATTTAGCAGTTCTTGATCATTTACTTAAATTTGTATTTCTCTCTTTCCATCCAGCTTCACCCTTTCCTGAAGAGACTCTCATTCAACAATAGTGTGGGGGATATGGTGTATTTGAATGAAAATGGTGAATTAGCAGCTGGATTGGATATTTTAAACTGGGTTACTTTCCCCAATCAATCCTTCTTAAGACTAAAAGTAGGAAAGATAGAACCACAGGCATTACCAGGAAGAGAGTTGAGTATTAATGTGGACAGCATCACATGGCACAACGTGTTTAATCAGGTGGGATCAGGTTATCAAATATAATTATAAATGGTTATTATGTGGCTCCTTACTGTGTGCTTTTTTCACAGTTGTGAAAGTGAGGGAAAAGGAAACAGATATCACAGTTAGAGATATAAATGCAGAGGATGGGCATTATTCTCCCACAGTATCACCTAACTGACAGTGCATTCAGGGGGGGAAACAAAACTTTGCTTGCACTCCTTGTGGACTTGATGGAATGGGGGAAGAGATCAGTGTTATGCCACTGTTGTGAGTTACTATGACTGACCCCAGGGGTCATTTAGTAGAAAAAGAGGTACAGAAGCTCATTAGCATAGCTCATTAGCATAACTTATTTGCATATCGTCCACCCCCTGACATCTCCCTTCCCTTCACCTCCAAGCTGGGCAAAGAAAAGGGGGGGAGGATCTCAGGCACTTCTGCCTGACAGAGGGGCCAGCCCGCCAGCCCCTCTGACAGGAAGAAGTACCTGAGTTCTATTCGTTTCCCCCTCTCCCTTCCCTTTGCCTCCAAATGGGGTGAAGGAAAAGGGAGGCGAGGGTCTTTGTGCTTCTTCCTGACAGAGGGGCCAGTGTGCCAGCACCTCTGACAGATAGAAGTGCCTGGGTTCCATTCCTTTTCCCCTCTCCCTTCCCTTCATCTCCAAGCAGGCTCAAGGAAAAGGGGGGAAGGATCTCAGGCACTTCTGCCTGACAGAAGTGGGCCAAGGAGGGTGGCGGGTGGGCCAGGGAAGGCAGGGGGCCCTCTCTGCAAGCTTTCCCTGGCCCACCCACTTTAGCAGGCAAGCCGGGGAAGGCATGGGGGGAGGGGCTTTCTCCAGACTCATTACTGCTGGAATGCCATCCCGGCTCATTCCGGCTGGAAACAACCCCTGACTGACCTCATCCACTTCCCTCCCTCAGAGGCTAGATTTTCCCTCTTTTTTTGTTTTAATTTACACCAGACCAGGGATCTCTGTACTGTTCAGAGCTATTTTTCCTGTTCAACTGGGTAGGGAATCTTTTTCTTGCTCTAAAAGACCTTTCCCTTTTCCTTAGCCTGAATGGGAGTCTCCATACACTTCCCAAACCTCCTAGCTGCTTTCCCCAATTCTCCTGTCTACGTTAAACCACTCTCAGCTAAGGCTAAAATCAGACTCTCTCAGAAGTCACAAATCTGACTGACTCTCCTCTGCATCCATCTCTCTCGAGACTGTCTTCTCAGCTGATGTTGTCCAATCAGATGGCTCCGAGCAGCCTGTCACTTATGGCTCTCTGCCTCTGTGAAGAATTAACCCTTCACACACCTTTGCTCTGTTTGTACAGTACTTTGAGGCTTTTTAAAAAGGTGCAGTTCATCACAGGTACAGTGGAATATATATTGCTTATGAATTTTGGAATGATGAGGGGAGCTAATGCTTGTAGCCACTTTTCCCTTACATATCCCCTCCCCAAGATGTTAGCCATGATTAATCACTGGCTGGGAGAAAATTGAATGTGTACAAGATGAATAGAGCAGCTGCACAAGAAGCAATGGTATTTATTTTCTCTTACTGGTATGATTTTAAACAATTAAATTAAATTTTAAAATTAAAAACTAAAACAGATCATTCCTTTGCCTAATCCTCTACTTTGACCCCTGGACAGAAGAGAAGCTTCACTGATATGGCAATTAATTTCTTACTAAATCTCCTCTGTAAGTTTTTTAAAAAGTGTCAGTAAAGTGGGGGGGTTGTTTCTCTTAACTATTTACATTTTGGCAGGAAGGTTCCAACTACTGCTTGGAATGGAAACAAAAAAAGTTACAGGTGGTAATCTATTTCCCATTGACATTAATAGGGATAAAGAACAGGCAAAGGTACTATAACAAAGACAAAAAGGAGGGTAATAGGACAATGGAGGGAAGCAGTGAACAGAAAAGAGAATTACTGGAATACAGACAATTCGTTGGAGAACGATGGGTAGAGAAAAATGGGTAAAGGTCACCTTTGACTACCCCAAGCTGCTGCTGGGATCATGAGACCTGCATGGACAAAAGCTGTAGTAAGAGTTGGATGAGATAGTTATTTTTATTCAGCAAGGCAGGATCCAGCCAGCATTTGACTCAGACTGAAAGTGACCTGTAATATACACATTTTTTTTGATAAGGCAGAAATTTTATGCATTTTCTCTTAATTTGATGACTAGGTGATGCCCCTTGCTATATGTAATGACAATTGCCATCCAGGCTACAACAAACAGAGGAAGGAAGGGAAGCCATTTTGTTGCTATGATTGTGTTCCATGTCCAGTTGGAAAGATTTCTGATCAGATGGGTAGGAGACATCAACTGTACTCTTATAAAACACTGCATTATATCAGATTCATGATACCTAATAAAGGGAGCTCTGACTCTTGAAAGCTCATACTCAGAAAATCTTGTTGGTCTCAGAGGTGCAACTGGACTCAAATGTAGTTGTTCTACTGAACACCAACATGACTACTCTCTGAAATTAACTGCATTATATCATCCACTGATCTTGTTTTACCACCACTTGAGTCTTCCAAAAGAACCAGGAAGATAGCAGAGCGCTACTGATGAACAATATATTCATACAAGGCACCTGTTGCCCTTCTTTCCCATTACAGAAAACACTTAACATAGTATGTTCAAAAATCCCACTCCCACCCTCCCCCAAAAAATAATTTTAAGATTTGCTTCCTTCAGACATATGTTGGTAAATCCTAAAGCCAATTAATTTCCTTTGGCTATTAGGCTGTGGAAGGTCAGTAGTTCAGCAGTTCGAGACCCGAGTGTGCCGCAAGACGGAGTGAGCTCCCGTCTCTAGTACTGGCTCCTGACAACCTAGCAGTTCGAAAGCAAGAAATTGCAAGTAGATAAATAGGTACCGCTTCGGTGGGAAGGTAACAGCGTTCCGTGTGCCTCGGTGTTTAGTCATGCCGGTCACATGACCACAGAAATGTCTTCGGACAGCGCTGGCTCTTCGGCTTTGAAATGGAGATGAGCACCGTAACCTTAGAGTCGGATTCGACTGGCTTTCAAGCAAGGGAACCTTTACCTTTACTTTATTGATAAAATCTCAATATTGTATCTGTCACCTCAAGAGGATGGCACTTTTTAGAGCATGCTGGTAAATAGTCCAAAGAAGCCTACCAAGATGTGCATTTCTGACATTTCCTGGTATCTGAGTTCTGAAAATTGCATCTGTAGGGACCAAGCTTATGTAAAATGTCACATCAGATTTGTACTGTTGAGTGATAGGGAGGATTATCATTCTTTTTTTTTCCTCTGAAAATTTGGCAAGTAGAAAAGCCAAGGATTTCATTAAAAATTAGGAAGACTTTTGTGCAAAACCATACACACCAAGTTTACAAATGTAACCAATGATTGGTCAATCTGCTTCATCTATGTGTATTCATAAGGTGAAAATCACCTATATGTGACACTTCACTATGTTGCATGTTTCATATGTAGATATGAATAATGCTCTCCATCCAGTTCCATAGATAGTGGTGGGGTGGGTGTTTTACTTCAACCCCTTGGAAGGATTGGACATAGATAATTCTACTCTACCTTATGTAATTATGTGATATGCCTCATTAAATTATTAACGTCTTGGTATTAAATCACATCCAAATGTTGCAATAGACAAAGTAAGCATGGGTTGGATGGAAGGGTACATCCAATGGACAGTCATGAACATCATACGGCTTCAAGATAAAGAAGAAGATGAGGTGCTTCTCCAAGCTAAGATATCTTGTATTTCTGGATTAAGGGGAACCCTCCCTTTGAGCCTTGGGTGTATGAGAGCATGAAAAACAATGGCAGGATTAACATATTGATAAGCCATATGTTCTTTCTTTCAGACATAGATGATTGTTTCAAATGCACAGAAGATCAGTATCCTAATCTGAATCAAAATGAATGCCTCCCCAAAGCTCTGAACTTTCTCTCCTTCTCAGAACCTTTAGGCATCACTTTGGTTTTCCTGGCATTGTTCTTATTTCTAATGACATTGTTGGTGCTGGGAATTTTCATTAAAAAACAGGACACTCCCATTGTCAAGGCCAACAATCGGGATCTTAGTTATTTGCTACTCATTGCCCTTTTGCTTTGTTTTCTCTGCTCCCTACTATTCATTGGCAGACCTCAGCCAGTGACCTGCTGCTTACGACAAACTGCTTTTGCTCTCATCTTTTCAGTTGCTATTTCTTGTGTGCTGGCAAAAACCCTCACTGTAGTTCTGGCATTCATGGCCACCAAGCCAGGGAGCAGGGAGAGGAAATGGGTGGGGAAAAGACTTACAAACTTCATTCTTTGTTGTTCACTTATACAGTTCATGATTTGTGTTCTATGGTTGTGTACTACTCCTCCATTCCCAGATTCTGACATGCATTCTCTGGCTGAAGAAATCATAATAGAATGCAATGAAGGGTCTGTAGTCATGTTTTACTGTGTTCTGGGGTACTTGGGAATTCTGGCTATGGTCAGCTTCACTGTGGCTTTCCTAGCCAGGAAGTTGCCCGATTCCTTCAATGAAGCAAAGTTTATTACTTTCAGCATGCTGGTCTTTTGTAGTGTTTGGGTTTCCTTCTTCCCATCTTATCTGAGTATGAAGGGAAAACATATGGTAGCTGTGGAGATTTTCTCCATCTTGGCCTCTGGTGCTGGGTTAACAGTTTGTATTTTTTTCCCCAAATGCTATATAATTATCATGAAGCCTTATTTGAACAGGAAGGACCAATTAATGAGAAGAAAGATATAGTCACTTCTCTCTCTCTCTCTCTCTCTCTCTTGTTTGTTTTGTTTAATAGTGTACATTTCCTATACTGTGATGTCTAACTGGGAGATAATTTGTTCATTCATTCATTCATAATCCACCTTTATCACTGAGATTTAAGGAACATTAGACAGTGTAAGTCAATACAATCAACAGGATAGGATATCCAATAAGCAATTCTATAAGGTTTACATTGCAGAAAACTGGAAACAAGCAGTAATTTGAAATAGAGCTGAAACAAATTATAAGAATCTAAACATGACACACTTAATAGTGCAGAAGTTACGTAGTAGGAGCATACTTACAGTAACAGACAGTATATACATACTGGATTTACTCAAAGGCAAGATCGGGCTTTTTCCCCAGGTATGCCATCAAAAAAAGAGGGGGGCATCTTAAATTCACATACAACTGACAGTTAAGTTCATTAATAGTAATCTTTTTGTGTATAACAATGGGGGTGAGTTTTCTTTCAAGTAAATATGGTACAATACACAGCTGTATAGCCCACAGTCCCCATCCAAATAATCTTTCTGAATTATTTCATTATGGTACTTGGTCTGATCAGTACTTGGTCTGATGCTTTTTAACTTGTTTATTAATGATTTGGAGTTGGGAGTAAGCAGTGAAGTGACTAAATTTGCAGATGACACAAAGTTGTTCAGGGTGGTGAGAGCCAGGAAGGATTGTGAGGCCCTCCAAAGGGATCTGTCGAGGATGGGCAAGTGGGCGTCAATGTGACAAATTGAGTTCAGTGTGGCCAAGTGCAAAGTGATGCACATTGGAGCCAAAAATCCTAAATATAAATACACATTGATGGGGTCTGAACTGGCAGAGACTGACCAAGAAGGAGATCTTGGAGTCGTAGTAGATGAGGCCAATGCTATGCTGGGGGTTATTAGGAAGGGAATTGAAAACAAATCAGCCAGTATCATAATGCTCCTGTATAAATAAATGGTGCAACCTCATTTGGAGTACTGTGTACAGTTCTGGTCACCACACCTCAAAAAGGATATTATAGCATTGGAAAAAGTGCAGTAAAGGGCAACTAGAATGATAAAAGGGTTGGAACACTTTCCCTATGAATAAAGGTTAAAATGCTTGGGGCTCTTTAGCTTGGAGAAACGATGGCTGAGGGGTGATATGATCGAGGGTTATAAGATTATGCATGGGATAGAGCAGGCAGATAAAGAAGTACATTCCCCCCTTTCTCACAATACGAGAACTCGTGGATACTCCATGAAATTGCTGCACAGTCAAGTTCGAACACATAAGAGGAAGTACTTCTTCACCCAAAGAGTGATTAACACATGGAATTCACTGCCACAGGAGGTGGTGGCGGCTACAAGCATGGACAACTTCAAGAGGGGATTAGATAATCATATGGAGCAGAAGTCCATCAGTGGCTAATAGCCACAAGGTATAGGTAGGAACTCTCAGTCTGGGGCAAGTGATGCACTGTATTCTTGGTGCTTGGGGGGGGCAACAGTGGGAGGGCTTCTAGTGTCCTGTCCCCACTGCTGGACCTCCTGATGGCACCTGGTATTTCTGGCCACTGTGTGATACAGAGTGTTGGACTGGATGGGCCATTGGCCTGATCCAACATTGGCTTCTCTTATGTTCTTATGTTCTCTTAGTACGGCCTTATTATCTGTGCAAAAAGCAATCCTGAAGATTCCAGTTTTGCATAGTTTGCTTAGTTTGCAGAAATCCAGGAGATTATTAGGCCTTTCTATAAGGTGGTGCCAGAACAGAGATTTTCCCCACTTGCAGGGTGACACCTGCAGAAGGCCCTGCTCAGATGAGCAAAATTGTCATGGTGGACCATAGGGAGAAAAGTGGTTGTGCAGCTAGGAGTGACAAAACCTTTGTATATGATAGTCAATACCATGAATTGAGTCCAGTAACTGATGGACAGCCAATGGAGTATCTATAGAATTAAAGTAATATACATGCTCAATCTAGCTCCAGATAATAACTGAATTGTGGCATTCTGCACTATTTGACATTGAGGGGAAACCTATGTAGAGTGAATTACAGTGGTCTAGTCTCAATGTTACCGTGGCATGGATCCAGGAGGCCAGATTGGCTGTGTCAAGGTAGGATGGCATTTTGCAGGCTAAACTCAGTTGGAAGAAGGTTTTTTTTGGTAGCTACATTAGCTTACTTCTCCAGCAGTAAAGCTGGGTCCAATATAACCTTCTCTTCACTAAGTCAGCAAGGTTCAGCTGGGTTCAGTTTCAATTTGTTTGCTTTCAGTCATTTGACCACAGCAGTTAGACAAAAGCTCAAGACAAAAGCTCAAGACCTCTACCACATCACCAGGTAATTTGGAGCGAGATATGTAGCTGGGTGACATCAACATATTGTTGACATCCAATTCCAGTTCTATGAACGATTTCTCTTAAAGGCTTTACACAGAGGTTGAATAACATAGGGAACAAAAATTCTCCACTGTGGAACCTCAAAAGATATCTTTCACAATGAAAATGTTTGGTCTCCAGTGGCAAACCTTTGAGTCTGATCCATGAATAACTTTTTAAACCAGTTCAAGGCACATCCCCTGATACCTACTGCCTCCAAATAGCTCAATGGGATAGCATGATCTACTGTATCAAATGCTGCAGATAGATCCAGTAGAAGCAATAAAGAAGCATGACCTTTGTTTACATTCAGATGGAGGTCATCAATGAAAGCCACCAGGGCCATCTCTGTGCCATAGCCTGGCCAGACTGAAAAGGGTGCAGAGCACACGAGTTATCCAAGAAGACCTGGAGTTGGTCTGCTACTGGTTTCTTAATTACTTTGCCTAGAAAGAGCAGAAAAGAGGCTGGGAAATGATTGGCCAAATAATTTCTTTGTAGGGATTTTAAAAAGTAATAAATGAATAACCATTTCTTCGAGTGGCCAAGGGAACATGTCTTGAGTTAGTGACTGATTTCTGATAAACATCAAAGACTTATTAGTGAGCTCCTTCAGGGGTCGTTTCGTAGAAAAAGAGCTAGGGGAACTCATTAGCATAACTCATTAGCATATGCCACACCCCGTGACATCAGGGGCCCAGCGGTGGACCTGCAAGGCCGGCAGGAGTGTGAGGAAGCCCCGCCAAGGCCCTCCCTGGCTCGAAGCAGGCAGGGGTGGGGAGAGGCGGGGAGGAAGCAACTTACCCTCCCTTTTCTCCTGCCTACTCCTGGCTAAATGAGGGCCGGAAGCGGGGTGGCTGGAAGCAGGGGGCGGGGCTTCGTCATGTGCCCCGCCCCCCTGCACCTCACCCGGGGGAACTGCGTTCCCCCGCGATCCCCCCGAAATGACCTCTGAGCTCCTTACATGATTTTAGTAGGCAGGATGGGAAGGGTTCAATGCACAAGTGAAGGTCTGCTCAGATCCCAGGATCCTGTCAATATCTATTACAGTAACTGGATCAAAATGGTCAATAAGTAGACCAAATGCTGTATTAGGCATTTCTTCTGCCTGGTCTATATTACAATCTGAACTCATTTGCTACTGCTATTTCTTTTTTGGGGATAGACTGAGGCCGAATCTACATATGCATTTTAGAATCAGCTTGGTGCCGCTGTTATCCCATGTGGTTTAGGGGAGCTGTCCACTTTGTCTTTTTTCCAGTTGTTACCATGTGTGTTTGTATTTGCATTATTGTCTGTATTATGCTTCTGCTATATTGCTCAAATGTCTATGTATCTGTGCGTTTGGGACCCAGGGCTCACTGTTGTGTGTATGTTTGCTGCTATGCGGTTGAATAGCTGGCCCTGCACCTCAAGCGTCCATAATGGGCATTGCTGAGATGCCAGCCCCGCGCAGATGTTTCCCTGGAATTTTCCACTGTGCCCCTTTGGATCAAGGATCAAGGAGGCCTCACTCCCATCAGGCACAAGGAGGACATTTGGAGAAACAGCAGACTACCTGCCACCATTGATGGACTGTGGGAACGCACGCAACCCCTTCCCGTTATCTGGGGTTGGCATCAAAAGACAATACAGTTTATTGCTCTGAGGACCGGCAACATTTCTACAAGTCAAAAGGTTGCCAAGGAAACGGAGGTTCACATCCCACCATATGGCCCCGCTTTGATGTAGGATAGAATATCTGCAAATCGCCCCCTTGCCCCTGTTAGGACATCACCCCCTGTTCGACCTATATCGATAGAAAAGAGGACAAACCCCAGGTTTTACGATAGGTAAAGCCAGCCCCAAAACATAGGTCTTAAAAGGAGAAACACTCCTTTGTCTTTCTCTCTCTCTGAAGCACATTCTAGCCTCTCCTCTTCCCATTCCCCCCCTTGCAACTTAAGTGCTGCCTTCTCTCTGGAACGAACGCCAGCCTCTCCTCTTCCCATTCCCCCTCCACCTTGCAACTTAAGTACTGCAGGTGACTCTAACTGTGTTCTCTGGAATCCGGACCAGAGAATCCACACCTGGCGTGGCCGGCCCAGTCTGTGAGATTCTGGAGTTCGCTTACTGTCCCTTAAGCTGCCCATTTTCTATTACGAGGAGATTTCTTCTCTCAGCTAGAACCACAGATAAGTATGAACGATATCCTACTGTGTGATTCCCCTTCTTAGATGCTTTTGTTATTTTCCAGACTGATTGCTTTCCATGAACTATTGTAACTAAGGATCTTGTGAGAATCTTGTATGCTTCCGTTTTTGTATGTCTGAAAAGTGCTTTAGTAAAAGGCAACATTTATTCATAAACCTAGTGTGTTGTCTGACTTCCTGAAATAGCGAGCATTTCATTGGCCAATCTGACCTCTGGATACACGGGTTAGAACTCACGCCCCGCCCACTGTGGTAGATAACTCAGACTTGGGCTGCCGGAATCGTTTTTGGACCGGTTCGGATAACACAGTTATCTAATCACAATCTATTCTTCATCACTAGATGGCCCCTGGAGTGTTCTGGGACTGGAATGAGAGGCCCCACAGTGGAATAGTAGCCCCTGGGGTTAGCAGGAGTATTCTGTGACTGG